TTTCGTGCCGTATGTATGTATGCATATGTTGTTTTTTATTTGATTTGTTTAACAACACACTTTTTTGGGGGGTTTGACTGGTTCGAGCTTGCGCGCGCGGGGCCGTGGGCGTGTGGCCCGTTAGGGGTTAGTTTAGCGGGAACATGTCAAAACGCACTTGTTGTGTTTGCGCGTGTGCGCCGCATTGTAGTATTTGGCAAGGGCGAGGGCGGGAGGGAGGGTGCGGAATCGCGTCGGCCGTCCCGGTCTTACTTGGTATATTACAAATAGCGCTTGTGCGTAATACGTACGAGACAAACAGGGAAGCGAACGGATAGACCCAGCCCATCCTTGGCATGGGGGTCGTGGGGTCGAGTTCTCTTTATGAGAAAGAACATATGGGGTTCAGGATCGGAGGTGCGAGTTATTTGGCGCAAGGTATTTGGTGGCAGCTATGTGGTGCAAGATATGGGATGCTACCTGTGGGGTGCAAGCTGAGTGGTGCAAGCTGCGTGTTGCAAGCTGTGGGGTGCAGTTTGCGCGGTGCAGGCTGTGCCTTGCAACGTGTACGGTGCAATGCGCGTGCACGATATGACACACACTTCGCCGCGCAGATCGCGATCCGACGCTGGCGAACGTTTCCGAAAACGATCTGCAGAGCGCGCGGGCCGCCGGAGCGCGAGTTGCTTCGACGGGCGCCCGCACAGTCGCGCAGGCCCCTTGGAGGAACGCGGCGTCCGCGCGCGAAACGCCGCCGTGCGAGCAGCCGCCCAAGCGGCCGCCACGCTCGGGGCGCTCCATAAGAGAGAGAAACGCCGAGATCGCGGCCGGTCCCTCATTACTGCAAGCTCTGGTCGCCGGAGTGAAAAGACGCAGATGTACGCTATAGCCCATGCTGATCTCGAGAGTTGGCGCTGCGCGGGCGCTCGTGGCACGCAGCTTTGGCCTCGCGGACTCGGGGGCCGCATTCCTGTGCGTGGCTGGGCGCGCGCACGTCCTTCTCCTGGGACCGCAGCTCTCGCGGCGCCGCCGCTCTCGCGGCGCCGCCCCCCGCGCGGGGCGCCGCCCCCTCGCGCGGGGTGCCCCCTCCGCGCGAGGTGCCCGCCGGTGCGCGCGAGGGGTCGGTCGGGCCGCGGAGGGGGCGGAAGCCCTTTCGGGGCCGCCGAGCACCTCCGCACCGCCCGCGGGGAGGCCCAGCTGTGTGTGTGCGTACTTCTTGTGGCTATGAGATCTATCGAATGGCCGTCTGTCTAAGATTTGTACGGTAGGTTAGTGCCGTGTCGACCGGCGGCGACCCCGCCGGCGGCGTTCAACCTGGAACGCCGCGGGCGGCCCAGAATCGATCGATGTGGAACGATCGGACGTTGCGGCAGCGGCCGATCGTTCAAGGCCGAACGATCCAGCGCGGTGTCAAAAGCCAACGCGGGGGTCGGCACGACACGAACCTGCAGTACTTGTTATGGCTATGAGATTTATCGAATGGCCGTCTGTCTAATGTTTGTAAGCCTGTGGATCACTCCCCACCAAACCACCCCAACCCAACCCGAAGGCCCAGATTTACCCTCGATTTCCAGCAGGGGGGGTGTCGGGAAACACGGAAAAAACACGTGTGGAACCCTTACCCCCCCCAACCCGAAATTCGGGTCTTCGGGTTGGGTTGGGGTGGTCTGGTAGGTAGTCAGTGGAAACTGTGCCAGGCAAGGAGCGGACACGCATTTTGACGAGCCCAGACTCCTCAGCAGCAGTCGAGCACACCGGCCGATGCCCCCCCCCCCCCCGCCCGGCGCGGCGGTGGGGTGTCCGTCCGAGCAGTGCGGCTCTCCCGGCGCGTCCCGCCCGTGGGCCGACCCCCGGCGCCCGCACCGAGCTTCGACCCGCTCGCGCCCGGTGGCGTGAGAGTCTCAGGAGGTCCTCCTCCTCCTCCTCCTCCTCCTCCTCCTCCTATTCCTTCTTCTCCTCCTCCTCCTCCTCCTCCTCCTCCTCCTCCTCCACCCGCCCGCGCCCGGGGAAGATGAGGTGGTCCTCCTCCTCCTCCTCCTCATCCTCCTCCTATTCCTTCTTCTCCTCATCCCTCTCCTACCTATGGTAGTGGTGGTGGAAAATCGGCCCATCAGGAGGGAAAGAAACACAGACACAACGAATCGTCGATCCCCCAGAAGATATAGGAAAAGATGGGCATGGGAGGGGAAAGACAGAGACCCAGAAAACATGGGAACATATGGGGGATCTGGTTGTTTGCGTGTATTTTCTTTGTGTGTCCCAGTTCCACTTCAAAATCTTGAGCCGTGCGGCAAGTTGTGGTCATGACTGCCAGCGGTATGTCCAGCGAGAGCCCTGCTCTGACCAAGACTGGCCCTTCCCATCCGTGCAAATCGTGTGCACGTTTGCACTCATGGTGGCCCAAATGGTCTAATCTGAGTCGAGAGCCCCAGTTCATGAGGAGTTGCGCTCCGTCCGTGCAGGTGTTACATGTGCTCAGCCTTCACGTCGTTGAGCTTACGGGCGTTCCAAACGAGCGCCA